GTTATGTCTCTTGATCCTGTGGTCTTTGATGCATGCAGGGGGGTGGGGGGGCAGTGATTCACGCTTTCCCATCCGTGTCAAGGACTCTCACCTTGTTCCGCTCCACAGGAGAGAAGTAGGCGGAGCAGAGCGATGCGCTTGGGCTGCGGGGGGGGCGGGGGGGGGGCGTTTGAACACCACGGGGCGTGCTGGGGGCGCTTTGCGGGCCCCATTGTGGGAGCCGGCCTTGCGGTTCATGCTTTAAAGCCGTGATGTTTGACTGCTGGGGGGGGGGGCTTCTGTCCCACCCCATAACCCTTTGACAAGGAAACGAAGGCCAGAGGGCCGCACTGCACCCCAGCGTGTTCGTGGCGGCCTGCGTTACCGCCGGGGGTCTCGCTTTCTCCCTGAGCACTGAGCCTTTCCCTGCGTTACCGCCGGGGGTCTCGCTTTCCTCCTGAGCACTGAGCCTTTGCCTGCGTTACCGCCGGGGGTCACGCTCTCTCCCTGAGCACTGAGCCTTTTAGCCGCGACGCACCTGCGGGCTTCAAAAGCGCCTCCAGCTACCCAGACTGGGCTCCTTCATTCATGTCACTTCACACCCACGCAGGGAGGGAAATACTCCCCCTTTTACTCCCCATCTGGAACGAACCGTGCACAAAATCTCGCCTGGGTTTGATGCCAGGGCTGGATCCGTTGTGCCAAGAGTAGGATAATTAACCTGAGCGGTTTCAGCAAACGGCCTAACTGTAGAATATGTGTTGATTTGCTAAGCAAATTAGACCAGATCCGATCCACCGCGATGGTTAGAAAAGCGAGCAAGAGGTGGCAGTTTGCATTTCATTATATACTTTTATGTGAAATATATAAATCAAATGATTACCATATATACATATAATCTAAGCAAGTATGCAGCAAAGCAACAACTGCAACAGTGCTAATCTAATGCAATACCGTGCCTGTCCAAGATCGCCCCCCACAGGGCTGTGTCTCCTGGCTGACTGGGCCCCAAAAGGTCTCCTCTCCCCTTGAGTGATTCACCCGACGCGGCGGCTCCATGATCCGTGTATGACGGCGATAATCGGCACAAAAATAACAGCAAAGTTTCAGGCGATACAGAGCATTAAGGACGCAGAGCTGAAAGGACACAGACCCCAGTCGCTCCCTTTTCCATCTCAAGCCTTCGCAAAAACACACACAGGACACTGAAATGAAACAAAGAAAGACACTTCCTGTATTTCTGCCTCAAGCGATGAGTCCGATCCCAAGTGGCAGGGACGTACGGCCTCTGAGGGACGTGCTTCACCACCCTGCTTCCGAGGGGTATTTTCTATAGCGTGTTATATTGCTGCCCTGCAGTTTGCAGATGTGTGATGCAGTTCCCCCAGGGGCGACAGGCTTCCCACGTGTGCAGAGCTGAAGGCCACGGGAGACCAGCATGGCGCCCCCCGCCCTGCCAAACACATTTGCAGGGGTGGGGGAGCTCTATTTGTGGGCAAGGAAGGAAGAACTTTTTTGGAGGATAAACAGACAAGGCCACAGTGAATGGAGGTGGGGGTTGAAGGACGACCGCAGAGGGATAGCAAGTAGGGAAATATAGCACTGGGGTTGGGGGGGGCTTTCCTGACTGACCCCCCCCCTCCCAGCAGTGTTGTGCTCTCCTGACACTTTTGCCCCCCCCCCCCCCCCATCAGTCTGCATGCTTTGGAGGATTCTTATTACTGTGTGTTGTTGAATATTTACAAATATACTTCAGCACATTAAAACTATAAAATGTAATCTAAAAAAACAGACCATGATAAAGTAGCTTTAATATTAAAATATTGCATATTAAATGCAGTGTAACCTGTGACAAGAGGCTGTACCAAATGGGCCATATTGAAGGATGGAGTTATCAGCAAGGCCAGGTTTCTAATGTTGGCACCTAATGGAGTAATAATAGACAGGGAGCCGGGGCCTGATATTCCAGGTGTAGCTGCTGGGAGGAGACGTTCCACCGAGCCCCGTAAAACGGCCTTTTTAAGTGCCTGAGTAGTGCACCAGCTGTGTCCCGCACTGGACGCGGACGTGTCGCCGTGTTGCATAACAGCCTCCCACCATATGCTGAAAGAGGGGCCAGCCTGCTTCTGTCCCGGGGATTTAGGATCTTATCTCCTCCAGAAAGCAGCCAAAAGATGGCGGCAGTGGGGTGGGTGGGGGCAGAGCCAGTAAGAGGAAGTAAAAGTCAAACCATTAGTCTGCTTAGCGCCAAAACGCAGCATGTCTGATGAAACACGGGAGGATACCGGGCTGGACAGAAATGGGCAAGGACTGCCTGATGGGCCTTCTAGACGTGGCAGGCCGGGGCGGTGGCAGGCCATCAGTCTTTGAGCCATCTTATGGGGGATGAAAGAGACCCCAGTTTTGGTAAGGGGAGGCTAAAGAGTGTTTCAAAGTCGCCAATCAGAGATGAGCAGGACCCCGCAGATCCCGGCATGCTCTACTTCATGGACAGGAAGTTAACCCCCAACTGCAGAGGCCTGCCACAGGGGGTCACGCCCCATAAACGAGGTCCCGCCCACTAGATATCCCACCTGTGATTGGTTCCTTGTTCTTCCTTCTGGTTCTCACTGGATGGCAGACGCAGTGAAGTGTTGAGAAAAGGTCTACAATAACAGGGAGGCCAGGTCATGTGACACCACATCCCCTTAAACCTACGCTGAGCAATTTCGGTCCGTATCAGTGATGCACGTTCATACCCACCCACGCCTGATCCAGGGGGAGATGGGTTGGGGTGTGCTGTGACACGCTGGGAAAGTCCGGGTGAAGGTTGGAGTGCTTTGACACCATTTTATATATGACATGTAGTTGTAGCTGCCCATGCTAAAGCCGCTAAAGGCTCTCAAATTCCAACTTGCAGGACAGGATTTAAGCAGAAAGCCGTCGATCCACCTCAGGCCAGATGGGGTGTCGATCATCCTGGAGACTCGCGGTGAAGAAAAACAGCTGTTAGTGGGGCCTCTATGCACCTTGTACCCGGCGCTCAGCGCCCCCTGCTGGCAGCCTCAGATGCTCTCGAGAAAACCGATGCTGCAAACCAGATAATGGACATCGCCAACCAAACAATGCCGGCCCCCACCCCCCGTACGCCGTGGGAAAGAGTCTCAGCCGGCTGTTTCTTCAGAGGATGTGGAGACTCTCTGCGTATTTATTATTTATTTTCCATTATCTGTGCACAATAACATCCTGGGGCACCCTCCACTGTGCTTGCAGGGGAGCGGAAACGGGGACAAGAGAATAATCACAGGC